CGGGTTTAGCCCAAGTTAGCCCTGCTGTTTTAAAGGTGTCACGTGATTCTTTGCTTGTATTGCTGAGGACAAGGAGGTCTCCGGTCTGAAAGAAAATATTTTAGAAGCAACTAACAGCGGTTTCAAGTCCAACGTTTGCCCTATTCTTGAGTTTCATCGCGGCTGGGCGTTAAGGACAAGTGGTTGGGGGACACAGACCAGTGGCGAAGCCATGGCGAAACGTAGCCCTCTTCAGGTGTTACCCAAGCTGATGTTGTGAATACTGGATAACTAGCTCAGTGGTTAGAGGTTGGATGTTTGATTCCTCACTGTGCCTCTTTCAGACTTGATGATCGATAAGGTTCCCTTCCAGCTCTGCAATTCTAAGATTATTATTATTAAATGCATTTGGTGAGGAGGATTTGGGACCACCCCCTTCACAATCTCATTCTTTGCCCTTTCAGTGCTAGGTCCAAAGAGCCTCCCGCTCGCATGTAGGCTGTATACATGAAGAAGACACCTACACACGAGCAGGAATTTCTCCACCTCCCATTTGGTGCTGACGGTGTGAAGGATGTAATGATAGAGAGGGGCAGAGTTACTTGCTCCCCTCTCTGTATATTTACCAGATTAGTTTTTGTAATGCCAGAACAGGGCTACTCTCTCACAGGGAACAGAGAGTCATTACTAGGAATGGTTGCCTGGCAGGACTTCTTGATAGAGCTTGGAAGTTACTCTCTTTTTTTGCACTACAGGTCCCAGAATGCTCTGGTAGGTGTGGTAGTAGGGGATTATGGGAACTGTAGTCCAAAAGGCAACATTCTTTGACAACAAGACGGAGAATCGCTCACTGGTGAATGCTTGATTCATTGATGATGCATCCTCTAGATCCGTGGTTCTCTGCCTTGCATCTGTCCCAGATGTTCTTGGACTAAAACTCCCCGAAGCCTTCACCATTAGCTGTGCTGGCCACGATTTCTGGGAGCTTTAGTCCATGAACATCTGGGGACGTAAGGTTGGGAAGCACAGCTCCGGAAGGTCAAAAGCGGAAAAAGGTATCCCGGCCTGGCACAGGAATCAAGAACCGGTTGGTGGGAGACAAAGGCTTTGACTGGACCAAGTCCTTTTTAAGGAGAAAGGAGGGACAGAAATGTTTTTGGATGGATGGATGGATGGATGGATGGATGGATGGATGGATGGATGGATGGATGGATGGATGGATGGATGGATGGATGGATGGATGGATGGATGGATGGATCTCTGCATTCCATCAGCCATGATTTGAGGGAGAATCTAGCAATGTTCTTGCATAGCGTTCCATGGACTCAACTTCCACCATGCCTCATTGCTGACCATGCCTGAAGTTGAAGAAAAGGTCAGCCGTACCACACAGGAGAAGGTTCTTCTAGCAAACCCACCTGTCGCTCCTCCACTGCTTCTGGTCTTCAATCTCCTTCCCCACCAGCAGTGGCCAAGGTCATGCTGAGAGGCAACAAGGAGCCAAAGGCAAGGTCAACAAGACAACAAATTTCAGGTGCGCACACACCCACCCACACAACCAACCCACCCACGCCATTTCCCCGCCAACAGAAGAGATGCGTTCGCTCCTCTGCAGAGAACAGCTTGAGCAGACAATATTTTCCACTGGGTAAACCAGCCGTGAAGAATGAGTGGAACAAATACGCGCCCACACACCTACGTATATCAAATCAAACAGACTCCTGGAACACACACAGCGAACTGCTTTAACCTCCGTTCACCTCCAAATTTAAAACGGAACTTTTGGAATGTTGCTTTTGGTGACTACAGCTCCCATAATCCCCTGACTGCTCCTGTCCTTGCTGGAGGATTTGGAAAGAGATCGTCTCCCTAAGTGCACGCAGGGTACCACGCCATTGAACATTCCCTGAGCCCTAAGGATCTGCACGTACAGACAGCAGACGTCTTCCCATTTTCCAGTCTTGTGGACCAGATCAGACAGGTCTCAGTCCTGCAACGGAGCACAGATGTTCCCCACTGGGCCTCCTTGACAGGAGCTGGACTTGATGGTCCACAGGATCCCTTCTTGCGCTGCAGTTTTAAGATTAGTGGTGTTCTTGTGAAACTTAAGAACAACGTGCTCTTCCAGACGAAGCAAAGATTCTCCTCAATGGTTCATGCCATCCATACCGCATTCCTCTTGTTTCGCTTTATACAGTGACATTTTCCCATGACTGTCGGGTACCTTTTCACCCGTCTTGAAAGCATGGTCAGTTTTTAGCATCACCTAGTACCAGCCCTCTCCCTGCAAAGTTGAGTGCTCTGATGCTTCCTCTCTTGAAGCGGATGCCTGCGGAGAGCCACCTGGGAAGATGGGAAGATTTTAATTTGTGCTCAAGCAATACCCACAAACACTCCAGAAAAGCAATTCAAGCACAAGAGAAATCTGAATGTTTAAATATTCCTTCAACATTTCCTAAAGTTTTCTTGCAAAGTGGCTTTCAAAAGAGAAGTTTGGATGGGAATTCGGGCAAGCGCTGTGCTTCTTCAATCAATCCATCTGAAAGGGCCTTCTAAGACAGAAAGAGAGGCATTACAAGACCATCCACCTTACCCTAATAAATTTTCATGCTACATTTTTAAAATTCTGTCAACATCAAAACAGAAACAGCTTGGAAAATCAGAGGCAAATGGAGGTGGGTGAAAGCCCCCGACTTCCTTCCACAAAACCCATGGCTAAGCTATCCACTTTTATCACTATAAAGTAACTTTTTTTTAAAAAAAGCAGTCCTTATGGGACCAGCGCTGATGGTCTTGTGATGCTTCCTTGAGTCGTCCGGGAGTCCAGAAAGCAGTCGGATCCTGTTCTTTCTTCCGGGACTTGGAGGTGTGCGTGCACATGTGTGCGTGTGGGGCAGGGTGTGTATTTACATCACACACACTTCTGCCGCTTTAATTCCCTAATCTCTGCTTCTCATCTGAACTCCCAGCTCTGCTGAGGAAACAAAAAGCAACCGAAGGACAGAAGGTAAATCATTAGGGGTGTCTGGCCGGGCACCAAGCCTTCTTACAACACAGACAGAGGAAACGGCTGGCGATCATTTCTCTCTGCTGCAGGGAAAAAGAAGGGGGGGAAAACCAACCTCCCTTCTAGCACACACATATACACATGCAGTTGTGAAGCAACGGCTCTTCCTACGTTCTTGCTGCTCATAAAAAGTGTTCAGGTACAGTCCTACACAGGGTGGTCGCTTCCTAGAAGAAGCATCTGGCTGTCCCACATCCGAAGCCGGGAAGCTGGTTCTCTGCAACTGGAGTTTGGAAATGTAATGTTTCACACTGTGCCCCCTGGCCTGAATTCCCTGAGTCCCTAGACCAAGCTATATATATATATAATTATTTCCTTTGGGTTTTACCACATAGGAGTTACCGTATTAACTGCTTTAACGCCCAGGTGACAGGAAAAGCCTTCTCTTTAGAAACTCTCCTGTTCCCGTTTGATATCCGCTTCTGTGGCCGGATGCCCGCTGCTCTGCCCGAACAAGAGGGCACTGGACCCTAAAAGCGGAGGCTCAGTGAAGCGGGGGTTCATCCCTCAGGTATCATCACACGGGGCTACAGAGCTTTGTGCCAGGTGCCAAAAGCGATGGGAACATTCAAAGATTTCAAAAACTGGGCTCCGGGTTATGGTTTCTCAGAGGTCACACTCTGCCTCCTACCTGCTCCCTTAATCCTATACAGGCAAGGGACAAAGGGTGCCGTTTCGAAGCACTCTGCGCATGTCCAGAGGCAATCTTTCATGCCCTGTGGAAAATAAGGGCCTTGGGTCACAGAAGAGAGGCAGAGAGGATGGGTCCTTTTACAAGGGCTGGAAGGTCAACACGTTCTGTGCAAGTCACACACACCCCACTTTTTTGGGTACCGACACCTCTTCCACCCCACCCCACCCCCCCCCATCCGTGCCTGGAAGTCCTCCTGGAAGGAAGCCACCGCCGGACCCTCGAGCGACCCCCAGTCCTCCCCCCAAAAAATAAGCTTCTACGGAGCCCCGCTAAGCAAGGTTAGGTCTGGTGATTCCTCGGACGCGAGGACCCCCCCCCCTCTTTTCCAGGCACTCCCACAAAGCCTCAGGGAAAGCTTTGACTACCAGGAGCCCCTAAGATCTGGCTGCGGCAGAAGGAGAAAGCTCGCCCGTCCACCGTTCAACGGCGCGGCCCTGGCCGAGCTCGCCCATCGCTCGGCGGCGAGTCCCCCGGAGCCTGTGCCCACCCACCGGGACAGCCGAGGCTCCCCACTCGCTTCCCCCACCCCCGGACATCGATCCAGCCGTCGGGGAAGCCCTGGGCTCCCTGGAGGCCGCCCTCGGCGCTCGCCTTCTCGCCCTCCGCG